GGGAGATAGCTCAGTAGAATAAGTGCTTGCCTGGCAAGTACAAAGTCCTGAGTTCAATCCCTGGTACTGGAAAAAAAAAAAAATCTAAAAACCCAACCTGTAGAATATTGCATCTTAAAACAGAATGCTATTTGTTTTTTGTTTTTTATATATCCCCAGCCCAACCACTCCAGAATGCTATTTGAAAAAGGCATCGGGGGATAGTCAAACACCAGGGAAAAAACTTCTTAGTAAAAACATTTAATAAAAATGAAAAACTAGGGGCCAGGGAGATGGCTCAGTAGAATAAGCGCTTGCCTGGCAAGCGCAAAGTCTTGAGTTCAATCCCTGGTACCACACACAAAATAAACACCTTAGGGCTGGCCAAATAGCTCAGCAGATTAAAGCACCTGCTTGGGCAGATGCAGAGGTCGAAGGTTAGATCCCCAGCCAGGCTGTGTGAGATTGAGTCTGGGTGTGGTGACGTGCGCCTGTTAACCTAGCGCTTGGGAAGTTGTAAACAGGAGAATGGCTACAAGTCCGATCTGTGTAATGAGACCCTGTAGACCCTATAGACCCTGTACTAAATACAAAAAAAAAGAAGTAAAAATAAGTAAAAGGTTAGAAAACAAAGTTGAATTCTCCCACACTAGAGTCAAACGCCTAGAAACTAAAACTGGTGTTAAAAAAAAATAAGTAAATTACAAACAACCAAGCAAGTAAGTCTACCATCTAAAAGACAGAACGGAAAAGTCACAACAAAGTTTCTTCAAGGGAGTAAGTCAGGAAAGCTCACGAGCTTATTAAAACTGATACACATGAATTTTCCAGATTGAAAAGAAATCACCATTTGTTGAAAAAATAAATAAATAAATTACAGAACAATATAAAAAAAAAAAAAGAAATCAGCAAATACTTAGCACAGTGGTCTAACCCATACGAAGGCACAGTCTCAATTTCAGAGGACAAAGAGCATAAAAACAGATCACAGACTCCTCAAAAACCAAACTGAAAAACGGAAGCCAAGACTGCTATGTCTGATAAGTTCTGATGGGAAACTTCCTTCTCTCCCACAATTCTAATTCCAGCCAACTGTCAATCTAATAAAGAATTTCCAAATGTTCCCAGCACTCTGGGAGGCTGAGACAGAAGGATTACAAGTTGAAGCCCAGCAAGATCCTGTCTTAAAACAAACATTTTTAAAAGGACAGGAAATGTAGCTCACTACAAAAGCCCTGAATTCAATCTGAGAAAGAAAGAAAGAAAGAAAGAAAGAAAGAAAGAAAGAAAGAAATTTTCTGACACAGATCCTAGAAACTGTACTTCCCATATACTCTTTCTCAGATGATCTAAGAAAATAAAGAAGAAAACTAAGACTAAAGATGACACAAAACATGGGAAGCCAGAAGAGAGCCCGCATGATGGTTAGATGTTCAAAGTAGCAGGAAATGGGTCTGCTGCCTTTTCACAGGGACACTGGGACCAGTACCAACTGGCCAGTATCTGCTCACCTGGTCCAACTTCTGACTAAATTCCTGCAATTTCTCCGACTGGCCAGGACTGGAACTGTCACCCAGTGTGAAAGGGTTCTTGGTCACCTACAATAAAGGACATACAAACTGCTAGAATAGTGTACTGGCTTCGAGGCTATTGGCTTGACCATAACCAGGCAGGGAATGGCATTGAGTACCCAGCTGGAGAAGCCTGGCCTTCACTTATCCCACACTGCCTTGCTGACCCAAGAAGCCACTCCTGAGAGCTGTGGGCACAATCTGTCAAGAAGGCCAATGTAAAACAAACCCAAGAAAGTATTCTTACAAAATCTAATCTCAGTTTAGAAAAGAAATGCAAAGAAAAGCTTTTTATTTTTTTAAATTTTTTTTTAA